AGGAAGAAGTTAAATTATCTTTATTTGTACATGACACAATATTATACATAGAAGATTTCAAAAACTCCACCAAAAACTTCTAGATTTAATAACCAAATTCAGCAGCACAGCTAGACACAAAGTCAACATTCACAAATCAATAGTTTTCTTATACACAAATAACAAATTCACTGAAAGAAAAATTAGGGAAATAACACCTTTCACAATAGCATTCAAAAACAAAATACCTAACAATTAATCTAATGAGGGAAGTAACAAAACCTCTACATTGAAAAGTATAGTACCCTAGAAAAGGAGACAAAAGAGGATATCAGAAAATAGAAATATAACCCTCATTCTTGGGTAAGAAGGACCAGTGGAGTAAAAATGGCCATACTTCCAAAATCGCCGTACAGATTTAATGCAATCCCAATCAAACTTCCAACAGCATATCTCAGAGAATTAGTGGAAGCAATCTTAAAATTCACTTGGAACCAGAAGATACCTAGAACAGTAAAGGCAATTCTGGGTAACAAAGGCAAGAAAGGGGGAATTACAATCCCTGAATTGAAATTGTATAGCAAAGCTACTATGATGAAAACAGCACAGTATTGGAAAAACAAACAAACAAACAAACAAACAACCAGGCCCAAGGATCAATGGAACAGCTTAGAAGATGCAGAAATAACTTGAGACACTTAGCAACCTTATCTTTGACAAAGGGGCCTAACACCTTCACTGGAAGAAAGAGCCTCTTTAACAAATGGTGCTGGAAAAACTGGTTTTCCACAGGCCAAATATTAAAACTAGACTCATACCTTTCACCATACACCAAGATAAAATAGAAATGAACCAAAGATCTAAATATTAAAACAGACACAATAAATCTGTTGAATGATAGAATAGGTAAAACTCTTGAAGGCATTGGTATAAGCAAAGACTTCATGAACAAAACCCCAATTGAATGAGTATGACCACAAAGAATCAACAACTGGGATCTCACTGCATCTAAAAAGCATTTTAATAGCAAGAGAAACCACCAACAAAGTAAAGAGACAACCCATGGTGTGTAAAAAAAATATTACTTGGTGTTCCTCAGACAGTGGATTACTATCTAGAATATATAAATAACTCACAGAAGTCAGATACCCCCCCAATTTAAAGACCCAATCCAAATGGGCATCTGAGATGAATAAACACTTCTCAGATGAAGAGACACAAGCAGCAAATAAATACATAAAAACATACTCAACATCATCATTCAATAAATGCGAATTAAGACAATGCTGAGATTCCATCCCACCCCAGAAAAAGTGACTATTACTAAGAAATCAGCCAATAGCAAATGCTGGAAGGGCTGTGGGGAAAAGGGACCCTTCTCCACTGTTGGTGGGAATGTGAAGTGTCAGAACCACTGTGGAAATCAGTGTGAAGATTTTTCAAACATCTTGGAGAGAGGTTCCATTGAATACAGGTATTCCTATTCTTGATATTTTCCTGGAAGAACGAAAAACATTATAGCACAGTGATGTATACATACCTGTATTTTTAGCACCATGGTTTGTAATAGCTAACTCTTGCAAAAAGCCCCCAAGCCCCCAATAAGTCGTGAGGGTCCCTTATACGATGGAGTACTACTGTTCCCTGAAGAAGGATAAGCTTGAGGAATTCCCAGCCAAGTGGATGCCCCTTGAGGACATCTTAAGTGGTGTAATCCGGGCACACGGTAAATACTGCTTTGTGTCTCTGGTGTGGGAAACCCAAAAGCATAACTAAGGGCCAAAAGATGTAACTGATACTGTGGACTAGAAAGAAACTGAGCCGATGGGAAGGGGAGCTAGGATCGGAGGGAGGAAGGGAAGGGAAGGGAAGGGAAGGG